ACTTTAGTTATATATATATATATATATATATATATATATATATATATATATGGAGAGATAATTATTAAATAATTTTTCAATTCGCCCGATTGTGCGAATCCCGCAGCAGGTTTGTTTGAATTACGACAAACGTGCAAAGCCAGATAAAAATTTTATCGCTCGTTTCCTTCGACGGTCGTATTTGCTTTTCTGTAGAATTCAAGAGATCGTTAAAGTGCGAATATAGTGTGATGCAATTACGACGACAAGAAACTTCATCTTAGAGAAATCTCTTGGACATAAAGTGTTATGAGTGCGTATATATTATCTAATCAAAGAAGGTTATTAAAAGCATATAAAAGCAAAATGGTTTTAAGCATCCTATCCTGTTTAATATCATAAAATTATCATTTTACAATAAAAAAAATCCATTAAATATGTCCCCTGCAGTATCCAAGAATTAATTACTTTTGCGCTATCTTCTATTTAAATAAAAATTATCTTATTATTAAGATTTAAAACAATCTCAAGATACAATTTCACATCTTCACAATCTTCGTATCTTTCTCTTGATCAAATAAGGCTTTACAAATAGATGTTTCCAGTTTCTTAGTTTCTTTTACTAAGAAAATGTTCTTATAATGTCTTCGTTCAATCAACATTTTCTTTCGGAAGTACAAAAGCATAAGTTGGCAATAAATAAACTTTGAGAAAATATTTTTGATGATAACTTAAAATCGGAGCAGGCTCGATTCGCTGGCGATAAGGAAGATATCCGGTGGAAATGGTGAACTTCAAGTTGGGATATCAAGATCGGCAGCGGGTTATACGAGCGGCCATAATAGTCGCTACCATTACCCGCTTCCAGAACATTAAAGATAGCAAAGGCAATTATAATCATTATGACGTCGAACGGCGCGTACAATGCCGCTGGTGCGTTACGCTCCTATAAAATCTCCGTAACGTCTAGAATAGCGCCGCATAGAGGCCGCAGAAAAGCCGCAGAGAGGCCGCGGAAAGGCTGCAGAGAGTCACAGAGGGCCGCAGAAGGCCGCAAAGGGCCGCAAAGGGCCGCAGAGGGCCGTAGGGGGCTGCAGAGAGGCCGGGCCTTCTCCTCTGCC